TGCCAGCTCAATGTGTATCTAAAGTTTGGCAGTCTGGTCAAAGCGCGCATCGTTCGTGCTCCAGAGTGTGTCATGAGGAAGATTAGAGCACGCTGGCACGACTTGGTCATTAGTGTAAGTACTGAATTGTATTTACGTGCAGGTGTGCTGGTATTCGACCAGCTTGTGACTAGCTTGCTGATAGAATCCTCGCCCTCTTTTGCTGTCTAGGCGATGGTACTTTCATCACTAATTGTGGCAGCTCAATTTCATTTGGATCGATAATGCTCGTGTTCTTTCGCTGTCTGGTGTTGGCTTTGGGCATTCCACTCGTTGTACGTGTGACAGCGTCAAGTGCCTCCATAACATCAGTGTTTTCAGTCATCACGTGCTTATAATGCATCGCCATGAAGCATTCGACGCGATATCCAAGCCGGCAACGAGTGCACGCGTATTTGACGATTTTTTCCACCCCGCAATGCGCACAAGCGGCAAAGTAGCTTGCTGCGACTGCGCGTTAGCATGAGCTGAGGTGAATCGCTTCCGATAATATCTTCTATAGGCTCTCAGTGGGTCGCTCGCCGCCGAAGTGAATGTATATGCTGCTGCTGTTCTGACACTAGCCTGTTGAGAATTTTCTCCTTTGCTGCTCGAATGATTGGATGTTACTCTCGCCATGCTTGATAAAAAAAACCTTGATACATTGCAAAGGCATTGTGGACTGCAACGTCAAGAAGCCATGTGAATATGCTCATGTTTAGGCGGCGCTCCCGTCGACGTGTCGGATTGGTGCTGCGCATTTGATCAAACCGATCAAAAGCATTCATGAAGACATTGTACGCACAGACTTGAACTGGAGCCTGAATTGCTGTCCGTCGAAAACTTTCCTGCCCAGTCCACCTTTGAACAAAGCCCATTCCATAGCGGCAATTCTGAGCTTCAGTAGTGCTACCATTGAGCACATCAGCAGACGGTGTCGCAGCCAAATCATTCGTGTATAAGACTACTCTTTTGTCACAAAATACATTATACCCTGCGTTAGGCGAGCGAACGTGAGGTGGTTCAAACCGAGTTTTTTTGCCTTTCTCAAACCCTTCTGGTTCCGCTTGTGGGCCTTTCAAACTCTTTCACATTTTCAACCAGGTCATGTGCCGCAACTAACTTCCAGCAGCCCCGCTCAGCATCGTTCAACTCCAGAACTGCCGACTCAACCGCAGGTCGAGAAAAAAGTATCCACATAATTTATTCTGCACGCTCCGATCACTATCGTCTCACCCAAAGTCAATCCAAGCACATGCTTCGCCAATGTATGCCTTGTGTAGTACCAATATTTACGCAGGCGGTTCAAAGGCCATATGCTAGTGGCAATTTCGAGCCCTATGTAGGCATTGATCTCGCGTAATGGTATGACAGGGACCCCTTTTTCCGAGAGACGAGGATTTAACCACTGAAGCAGCGTGTTACGAAAGATGCGACTAAGAAATAGTGCAAAGAGACCTGACATTCCCTTAGTTTGATACGTACGCACCACTTTGGCCTCCTGTAGCAACGTGATGCCTCCATTTTGCTTGAGGCTCTCGATATACACTTGGCCAGCTCTTGCAGCATCTTCACTGATCGCATCTTCACTGATCGCATCTTCCTTCTCTGCTGCGATTTCAGGATCTCTTGACATGCTACTGTCCTCTAGGTCTTCATCGCTTGCGTCGTCACGCTCTTCCGCACCTGGGGACTCATCCACAATTCTCTCCCAGTCTGATAAGAGCAGCTCAATATCCATTGCCAACAAGACTTTGAGATCGCGGGGGGATTCTGGGATGGAAGTGCTGCAGATAGAGGAAGTCTCCCAGAAGATTCAAAACCCTCAGCACGTCTCCCAGCCTCTGGGTTCATTGAAGAGGAGATCGGTTGGCCATCTTAGAGACCCCGTGAGGGACTCACCACATCGTGCTACTGTGCGCGTCTTTTGGAATGGCACTCTCGGCCAGTAAGCGACAGCAATTGGGTTCTTAGAAGCCCCACGGGGGCTCTTACTCTCAGGTTCTAAAGGGTTAAGATAATAAAACAGAGATTTATTTCGTAATAATTTATTACATTTTATTTTCTGCCTAAAAATATTTGAAGATGAGTAGGTTCATATGATGAATAGTAGTTTTCTCTCTTAAGTGTAATAATAAAGTTCAACTGTCATCATCCATCCGAATGCCGCGCGTTCGAATACCTTCCGTCTGTTCGTGGCAGGAACGGTTGTCGAGACTTTACTACAGTAGTGATCTTGAGGTACACCCCCGGAGTTGTCTTTACCGGAAAGAGCCTACACATTTCCTTTTTGATTCACTCACTGCTGTATTATTGTCTTCATCGACCCCGTCTACGATATTATTAGTTCAGTTCCTTGCTCACAGGGCTCCCGATAATGGCATTAATCGCAGTTCAAATTTCGAGGCTCCCAAACATTATGCATTTGAATCTGAGAAACCCGTCCATGCATAATGGCCATCACGTATTATGTAATGGCCTTTACTTACAAAAACAAGTACAGTATTAAAGTGTAAAGGCATACTGTACATTTTCTTCCCATTCATGATGCATTTTCAACCGCGCTCGAGCTCCCATACATTTAACCTAAGTACCAGTACCCTACTTGCATGGAAGTCACACAGTCGCAAACAGCAAATCACTCAAGAGCTGTATTGTCCCGTGACAGCAACAAAAGATGGCCGAGATGCGAAATTGGAAAGTCTTTTACTGCATCGAACGTATACAATTTCTTTCCATGCAATGCAGTCTAATACAACGTCAAGAATCAGTGAATGGGTAAGTTACTTGTATCGTAACTGACTTTATATATATCTGTGCTGTTGAACAAGTGCACCAGTAGCTAACAGACATATGGCTTCAGCGCCGGCATAAAGAAGCCATGGGTGGCTAATATTGCAAGTGCAATGAATGGCAAGCAGGGACTTATGGCAATGTGTGGTCCCCTGAAGTCGCAACACAGCAGACCGACAATGTAGCTCATTTCACAGCCACTTTCGCAACCGAAGACGCACTACCTACCCCATACAGCAGCTAAACATGGCTCCTCGCAACCCTTATCGCATTCAGCACGAGCATCAGCAGTCGATGCTGGCCATGCTCGACGACCGGGAGCTTGATCGTCGCACCGAATTATCGGAATACTCCCGACAACTGCCCCATGATGACGACCATGACGACCAAGACTCTTCGTGTCCCATCCTCGACTCTTGGTACAATGAGGGTGGGGCGGAGGCTGTTCGTCGTCTAACAAACTACCCTCCTCGGGAATTGAACCGCTTGTGGACCAGCGTGCGGCCGCATGTAGCCCACTACTGAAATGTAGGGCGTGGTCGACGTTGTGCATTTACTGGGAATGACGTGCTCTTTATGACATTGTCCGTCCTAAAGCACGGTGGTGCGTGGGATATGAATGCAGACGTCTTTCGCATCAAGACGCTTACCTTCGTAAAGACAATTACTGGTTTTCTGCGTGTAATTGCGCCTTGACTGTACGACAACTGGGTGCGAGCCAAGGCGGACGAGTGCACTATGAGAAGTCTGGTTACGTCGGGCCGAATATTTCAGCATTTTTCATGTGCTCTTTACGCAACCTACGTGATTTTTCAACAGTCGAATCATCCTACCGGAAACATGGCGGAGGTGATGCCGTACTACAGTGGCAAGCATAAACTTTACGGGCTAAAAGTTGAAGTTTCAATTAACCCGCGAGGGTTTGCAATCAATCGCAGCGACCACGCACGCGGAAACACTCTAGATATCACAATGTTTAGGAACAATGTCGACTTTCATGACTCGATTCGGCTGAAATCCGAATCTGACCAGAACCCTGGTTGATAATGGGCCGCTGACGACAAATTTTCCGGACGAGTGGGGGCTTTTGGCAGACAAGGGCTACCAAGGTCTCGCCGAAATGAAGCGCTGCATCCACCCAAAGAAGATGAAAAACCTTTCGCGAGATGACCAACAGCTCAACGACGAAGTCGGTAGTGATCGTGTTCTTGTAGAGAACCTTTTTAGGCGTTTGTGTACACTATGGCGCGTCTGCTTCGACAAGTACCGCCGGGGGGGGGTCTGCACGACGACATATTTCAGGTATGCGTCAGCCTCACGAACTTTCATTTTGAAGGCAATCCTCTGCGCGAAGACAATTTCGAAGAGTATGCCCAGCAAGAGCACCGTTTACTTGCCATTGGGAAGAAAAACAAAACGTCGACTCTTTCAAGAGAAATATCGCCGCCGCAAACAAATGCGCCATCGAATGGCTCCTGATGATCTGCCTCGCCACCACGATTCCGACGAGAACTTAGATGCCACGTCGCTGTTAGTAATCGCGTATGTAGTCACAACACAGCGACACAGTCTATAACCTTGTCAATCGAGAAGTCACCCCGAAGCTGATCATTTTGTTGGTCTCTTTCTTTGTTTTCCTATTTTTGTGTTTCCATCATAAAATTTGAGATGAACTGATGGACGGACTACAGCGCTATTTTGTAGTAACTGGTTTCGCGACCTATTTATGCATTAAAATAATGTACATTAATTATGCACTTATGCATTAATCGGGAGCCCTGCTGATGCTGGCTGCACTCGCGTATACAGTGCATTCGTGCACTTGTGCTGGCGTGGTAACGCAAACGAATTCGCTGGGCGGTACCAACATCGCAGTGAAGATAGTAGATGAAAGACGTTCAACGGATCGTAGCTAATAATAACAAGCCGAATCCAATGATTTACCATTGTGGGTTCACTTTGTGCACAGCCAGTAGTGGCCAGAGTATCCAGCGACAAAATGAAGGTGATTATTAATACCGCGAAAGTGCAGTCTGTTATGGTTACATGTATGCAGAATCACTGCTCCGTTTGTCCCACCGCCGATACAAAATCAGTTTCAACCTTGTTGGGGTCGGTACTTGTCACTCCTCATTCAACTCGCTCACCAAGACTACTACTACCTATTTTTTCGGCCTCGAAGACGTGCGATGTCGTCGCCAGTGTTCGGTGCGAGTCCGTACCTCCATCAAACTGCTGAGTCGCCTCCACATGCAACGCAGCCGTCGGCACCTCCGGCTGAAAGTGCAGCCCCACCCGTCAAGCGCGAATGCAACGACTTTTTCTTTTTAATCCCCTTCGTGGCCGTCGTGGTCCTCACTATCGTGTTTGCGGCCAAGTACGGCGACGACTTTATCAATGCCACGAACGTCGAGGGCCTCTCCGAAGCGTCGGGCGTCAAACTCATGCTCAGTATCGTTGGTCTTTCAGCTCTCGCGGCTGCCGGTATGTCCGTCGTTTGGATCGCTGCCATGGTTCTACTGGCCGAGTTTCTCATTTGGGTGGCTCTCATCACAATAATTGTACTCAACATTATGGCCGCCATTCTGCTAACCAAGAAGGCGTACGACAGTGGTTCGGACTGGTACTGGTGGCCGGCCGTCGTCTTCGGCCTCTTTGCGCTGCTGACGATTCTGTACGTCTGCTGTATCCGCAAGCGCATCAAATTCGCTGCGGCGCACCTGAAGGTGGCAGGAAATGCCATCTTCCGACTTCCTATGACACTTGTAGTGGCGCTCATCATGGTCGGCGTACAGATCGGCTGGGGCATCCTGTGGGTGCTCGGCAGTCTCGGCATCATGTTCCATCAGGACTACATCAAGCTCGAGAACACCACTTGCACATCAGAGAGCTGCGAGCTCAAGTACAAAACGGGGGCGATCGTGGGCGTGCTGTGCGGTATGCTGCTCATCTACTTCTGGGCCACCTTCGTGTTGCGCAATATCATCGGCGTCACGACGGCCGGGACTGTCGCCGCGTGGAAAAGTGCGGCCAACACGCCTTTTATCACGATGGGGGCGTGGCTGCGAGCTGTGACACTCAACCTGGGTAGTATCTGCTTGGGGTCCCTCATTGTTGCCGTTCTGGAGACGATCGTGTGCATTCTGCGCCTTCTAGCGTGGCTAGCTGGTCGTAGTGGCAACTGTTGCCTCGCGTGTCTGCTCTCGTGTTTGTCTTGCATCATTTCGTGTATCGAGAGCTGCATCGAGTTCTTTAACCGCTTTGCCTACTCTTACGTGGGTTGCTACGGCTACAGCTTCGTGACGGCCAGTCGCCACGTCTTCAAGTTGTTCGCCGCAAAGGGCTGGAGTGCCATCGTGAACGATGACCTGACCGGCAACGTATTCTGGCTAGGTAACATTATCATCGGTGCAGTGACCGCTTACATCGGTGTGCAGATGGTCGACGGCACCGACTCAGCTCGCCTGGCCATGTTCTCTCACCCGCACGTGTTCGTGGCCTTCTTTGGCTTCTTCGTCGGCTACGGTATCAACAACCTCTTCATGTCGGTCGTCGCCAGCGCGGTGACCACCATCTTCGTTCTTTGGGCCGAAGATCCGCATGGGTGGCAACTCACTCGTCCAAAACACTACGAGACGCTACACAAGGCGTGGCTCAAAATCTACCCAGACGAGTACAACAACGGCTACGGCAAGCAAGTGGACGGCAATACCGATGGTCGTGTTTAGATTCTTACATGGTTACAACTATTATACAACGTCTTTTAGTTAAACTACGTATTTACATGTACAAGTAGTAATGCCATCTCGAGCTTTAAATTAAATTTCGATTACCAATAAAAGTTTTATCGGTATCAAAAACTTACTATCCCTTTTTTGTGTCGAAAGGTGCAGCAATGTTACAGTAACATATTGTAGAATCTACTGATGACCAAATATTTTTGGCGGGAGCTGCCGCCTCAGTTCATTTTTATCGCGCGTGCCTCATCATGAGCGACGCCGCGCAAAACCGCTTTATGATCATGGGCTACAACGTCGAGTTCCCTCAAGGCAAGCGGCCGTTCCCTGCACAGTTCGCAGTCATGAATAAGGTACTGACGGCACTTAAGACGGAGCAACACGCACTGCTGGAATCTCCTACAGGGTCGGGTAAGACTCTGGCGCTGTTGTGCTCGTCTCTGACGTTCCAGAAGCAGTTTGTCAAGGACAAAGTCGAGGCACATAGAAAACAGCAGGAAGACCCGAAATTCAAAGAGCTGGAGGCCAAGAAACATGCTCAGGAGGCCCAGTTGAGAGCCATGGAGACTCAGATGCAGCTTATGGAAGCTCAGCAGCAAATAGAGCAGGCTCGAAAGGCGAGACGAGTGACAGAGGAAGAGGCAGATGACGCTACCCAAACTACTTTTCAGCCTACCCAAGAGACACAAGCCACACAAGTGGCCGGACAGCAGCTAGAACAGGACGATGACGACGTGGCGCCCACGCAACCCAGTGCGAATACCAGCGCCTGGATGACCACCAGGAAGCGCGAACTAGAGACCGACTCTACCGCCGTCAAGAAGAAGCGAGTGCTGCCCAAATCCTTCGCCTTCGCCGCTAAAGACGCGGACGTCAAGGTCAAGGCGGAACAGCTCGACGTCGCCCCCGACCAACCCAAAAAGAAGCGCGTGGTGCCTCCTCAAATCTTCTTCTGCTCTCGCACGCACTCGCAACTGGCACAAGTGGTGGACGAGCTCAAGAACTGCCCCGTGTCGTATCTCGACTCGCCCGAAGACTCCAACACGTACACGAAGCAACTGCAGACGTGTGTGCTGGGCTCGAAGCGCAACATGTGCGTTAACCGCAAAGTGAATCGAGATCCTTCACAGGTGGACGAGAAGTGTCGATTGGCACTGGAAGGCTCGTCCTGCTCGTTCTTTAGAAAGCGCAAGAAAACGAACGACCTAAAAAGAAGTGTGCCACCTGTTTGGGACATCGAAGACCTCGTCAAGCTGGCTCAGAAACACCGCGAGTGTGCGTATTTCCACGCACGTGAAGCCTTGGACCACGCCAACATCGTCTTCGCTCCATACAATTATCTATTGGACCCGACGATCCGTGGGGCTGTGGGGATCACGCTCAAAGACGCCATCATCGTACTGGATGAGGCTCACAACGTGGAAGATACGTGTCGATCGAGTGCCAGTGTGGAGGTGACTACTGACGCTCTGGCAGCGTCGATCAAGGCTTTCACGATCGTCATCAAGCATGGCAACCGACCAAAGACGTACAACGCGCTGCTGAAGTTGCTGAATGGGATCAACCGCTGGCTGCAGAGTGTGGACTCGAATGCCAACGCTATTCTTCAGCCGTCCGGGTATGAAGAGAAGAGTAAAGTCTGGGACGGCGCAGATGCTCTAGCCATGCTGGCCGAGTATTCTGGACTGACCAAAGACAACCTTGAAGAGATGAAAGAGAACGTTCAAGAAGTGCGAGAGTACGAAAACGGGCTGGGGAACAGCGCAGAGTCCAGCCAACAGCCTCCAACTCAAGCAGCACAAGATGCAGCTGCAAATCCGACGGGTGCCTCAGTTCTGCTAGGTGCGTTGGCTTTGGCTACGGTGGAGAGCATCATGAACGTGGTCGACTACATGTTTCGCGACAGGCTCAAGTTCATTGAGGACTTTAAACTGGTGGTGATCAAATCCAAGTCGACGTGGAAGGAGAACGCGAGCTTCCGATCTCCCACAAAGAGGAACGGGGGCGACGAATGGGAGCTGAAAATGTGCATCTGGTGTCTGAATGCCGCTGTGGCCTTCTCGGATATTGCGAGTCAGGCCCGCAGCGTCATTCTGACGTCGGGTACGCTGAGTCCCATGGAATCTTTTGCCGGTGAGTTGGGCGTGGACTTCCCCATTCGCCTTGAGGCCAATCACGTCGTGAACATGCGCAAACAAGTGTTTATTGGCGCGGTCATGCATGGCCCAGGCAACGTCGACTTGCAGTCCACTTACAACAACCAGCAGGATCCTAGGTATCAAGACTCGATGGGCCAGCTGCTACTGCAATACTCGCAAGCGATCCCAGGTGGAATTCTCATGTTCTTCCCGTCGTATTCGCTGCTGAATAAACTCACGACACGCTGGAAAAAGACCAAACTATGGGGCGAGATCGAGCAGTTCAAGGCAATCTACTCCGAACCCCGAAATGCTGGCAAAGACTTTGACAGGCTACTGGAAGATTACAAAGAAACCATCACATGCTCCAAGGATGGCGACGACGGCAACAAGACTGGTGCCGTCTTTTTGGCGGTTTATCGCGGCAAAGTGAGCGAGGGCATTGATTTCTCCAATGACAACGCTCGAGCTGTGCTTTGTGTGGGAATTCCCTTCCCTAGTGTCAAGGAGCTGCAGGTTTCTCTGAAGCGCAAGTATCAAGACGAGAAGAGCCGCATGAACATGAAGCTTGTGAATGGCCACATCTGGTACAACCTGCAGGCGTTCCGCGCTCTCAACCAAGCTCTTGGGCGTTGTATTCGTCATCGTCAAGATTACGGCGCCATTATGCTGCTGGATTCAAGACATCGCTTCAATAAGCACACCAAGTCTCTTTCCAAGTGGATGCGACCATACATTCAGGAGTTCGAGCACTCGCAGATGTGCGTTCCGATGTTCAGCGATTTTTTTCAGCGGAACAAGATGGAGTTGCCTCAAGTGGTGTCAGTGCCTTCAGTAGACACGGCTGGATCGGCTGCATCGGAGTGGAAGTCGAAGCGAGCGCCTCTTGTTCTCGAATACGAGGCAGGCAAGAACGGCAACAAGGGGAAGAAGGTCACCATCGCCCAGGAGAAACGCATGGCTGCACCGTCATTGTCGTCTACGCTGACCACAGTGAAGGACTTTATGGCCAAACAGAACCAGGAATCGGATCCACAAGAAAGCGTATTCTCAATTTTCCGCCCGCAACCTTCAAAGTAACAACAGGCATAGAACAAAGTAAGTAACAGCAGGCATAGAAAAAAAAAGATTTTGTGAATCCAGTAAAAAGAAAAGAACCGATTCCTCGCCAGCCTGAAATTTTGATTTGCCTGCCGAGGCACGTTTGACCTGTTTCGAATTCTCTATTCATGGCCAACTTCTGCGTTTGTTCATCTGTAAAAAATCTGGTACTTAAACTGCACTTGTGCTGCCGTATGGCTAGCAGACGTTGAGCTGTGTAAGCTTTTCAAAGCTATCATTCTCTATTTTTTTAATTGGTGCTGCTATTCTGTTTTGCTTACAAATATACCATCCAAAGAAATCGAATGCACGAAGCCAACAGTACGCGAAGGATATATGCCAGCAAATATTATCGTCACACTCGAGGCAAAAAATCTTCTTCAGTTGAGCAGAATAAAGTCACACACCAAGGTGTAAGTATTCGCAGATTCGCTGGCTGTTATTTTAATATCCTCCATCTTTGTGGGATGCAGCTGTACACGTACGCGCAAACCATAGGCCACGAGCCAACACCGTTGTGGGGAGATGTTCTGGCCCGAATCCCAATATTCTCAATGTATGGAGTGGAGAGAGCTTTCGTTTCTGGAATAACTGAGGCTTTGGTCATCCAGAAGTATATTCCAGTGGAATAAAGTACTACTGATTTTATCCAGATACTCGTTATTCCAAGCCTTGCGTTATTCCAGAAACTAAGGCTCTATTAATATTACTAAGGAAATACTACAGTAGTAATATAATCTGTAGAATGCGAGTAGAGAATTTGCTGTAAGCGAGCAAAGTTAGCTAGCCTGGAGTATTTGAGAGAAAAAAAGAAAAATAATGCTTCTTCGAGTACAAGATAATATTAATTACCTCGTCGATGGAAAAGATGGTTTCACCAGCCATATATGCTGCTGATTTGCCCAATTTCCTTCCAATGCATAACTTGCTGCTGGAGAACGCCCCCCCCCCATCCAGATAAACCTTCAGCTCACGTCGGATAATATCAAAAGTTACAGCTACATGACACCAAAGCGCTGGCAAGAACGCTACTATAGGGATGACATGCCGTTGCTGGCATAGTGATTAGAGACAACCAGTATTATTTCTCTTTTATATGCAGTTTTTATTTTAATAAGGAGTCGCTGCGACCTTTCATGGTGCTGACGAATAGTGTTGAAGAGCGAAGCACGAGCGGCGACGACTCCAACGCGAGCTACGGTGAGGAGCAATTTGAGTCAGAGAGCGAGCACGAACTGGTGGGCGGCGCAGTTTTCGCGTCTTATAAGCTAGATTCCAGCAGCGGTGAAAGTTACGCGTCGGATGCGTTTGGAGGCGATGAAGACGATTCAGGAACTTTTGCCACTGCAGTAATTGAAGGCGAAGACAACGAATACGAGGACGAGTCCTTTGAGGACGAACGAGAAGAAACGACAGAATTTGACAAACAGACTGAAAAGCTCAAAATTGATCTCCACGAAAGTGACGGAAACCAGCGACCAGTTGGCAAAAATGATAAATTGGACGAGGTTGATGAAGTGGTACCGTCGACACCTGCAGTGGATAAAAATGTCGACCCACAAGTCGGAGTTTGGTGCTCAAAGAAGATTCTAGAGCTGCGAGCTGCGTCTTCCCAGCCAGCGACTAGTCGATCTCGTCTTTGTAAGTCTGAAAGGTTCGTGGAAAAGATCGCTCCGGTTGTAGTGGAGAATTTGATTCATCGAGCGAGTTCTTGTCGTGTCCGTGAGAAACATGGTAATTCTCGGCTGCAGTTTCGGCAGCAGCTCAAAGTGCCGACATCTGTAATGCAACATGCTCAGACACAATTGTGGATGGCAAAGTCATCGAGCACCGAGTTCATCAAGAAATTGAAGCCTGAAATTCTTCCGACTTCATCACGATCGGTTGCTGCAACATTCTGCTCTGTGAAGTGCAACGATCTGCTTGGACAGTTAGCCACGATGCAATTATCTGAAATTGCGAAGAAGTGGGTGGCACCGGACTCGGGAGGTCTTAGCCTGGGAATGCTTGACTTTGTTCACAGCATGGCAGCAAAGCAACGGGAAGTTAGCACTTTAAATGATGCGACGCATGAACCTGAAGGAAGTATGTTGCATAGAGTGATGCTGGCTGCGCGGCTACAACTGGAAGACTCCATCGTGCTACGAAACGAAGCTGACGCGTTACTTGGACGTTTGCCATCCGAGTTATCAGAAGGCGTTTCGAAGTAATATATGTCAATGTTTTATAACTGGAACTAGTATATTTGAGTCTCATCTGTTAATCCGTCCCTTGACCAACGTATTGCTGGAGGTGGAGACGTATTCTCCAGCTGTCATAAGAACTCGTGTGTGCTTGAAATACGCACGCAAATCGAAGATGGGGCATGTTTATTTTTGCAACGTTGGCAGATGACTCACTTCCCATTCCTCCATCGTCCTGGGCCAAGTCATGGACAAACAGGTCCGGCTCGACGACTTGAGTACGCCACCAGGCACACCGTCGGAGCGCAGTCAGTTCTACCATGACAACGCGTTCTTATACAAGTACAACGAGTCGCACACTCCTTCGCTCAGGAGCGACATGTGTCCCGGTGGAGACCCATTGATGCAGGATGACCTCAAGGCTGACATCAATAACCCGTCCACCATGTTCATCTCGCTCTACAACCAGCGATCGAGTACCCCCATCAAGTATGTCGTAGTAGCAGCAGGCGTCGGCATTGGTCTTGGTGTTTTATTCGCGCACCTCAAGATCGACGGAGCCTATGCCAAGTGGATTTCATTGCCAGGTGATCTCTTCATTGCTGCTCTCAGATGTCTCATCGTCCCCATGGTGTTTTGCAGTATTGTTGGTTGTATCGGCCAGCTTGTGGAGGCGGGCAAGGCTGCGTCCATCGGTGGGCGTATCATGAGTTACTTTGCGCTGTGCTCCGTGATATCGTCGGGTACTGGGGTTGTTTTCGGCGTGCTGTTCTCGTCCTTCTTCCTCCAGCAAATGAAAGGCGACGAGTCGGATGTCGTAGCTGAGCTCCGTATGCACTGCTGGAACGGAGATGTGATATCCATGGCCAAAGGTGGAGGAATCGCCTGTGTCAAGGACACCAACACGACGGAGCTGACAAGCATTCTTGCGCTTAACGACACGAGCTCCAAATTCGCCACGGCAACCGAAACGTACAGAGACATTAACGTCTCGCAGCAACTCTTTGCTATCCTCAACGAAATCATCCCGTCGAACATGATGAAGGCCTTCTCCAGCTCGTCCACTATGGGTGTAATCACCTTGGCCATTTTCTTTGGCATCGCTGCCGTCATGAGCCATGAACGCACTCGTCGACAGCTTGCTGCAGGTGGCGGCCCAGCCGGAACAACCAAGACAGACATCGACATTAACCACCTGCTGCTACTCATTAACCACGGCGGATTAGTGTGCCAACTCATGATCAACTCGGTAGTGTCTCTGATTCCGTTCGCTATCGTGTCCATGATTGCCGGTTCGATGGCCCAGTACACGTCGTCGATGGATCTCGTTGAGAGCGTCGGCTTCCTCATTATAGCGTTGGCACTGGCACTGATTACTCTCACGTATGGCATCATGGGGATGGCGCTCTTCGTGACGACGAGAGTAAACGTTTTCTCGTACTTGCGCCACATTATTCCTGCTCAAGTTTTCATCTTTGGCTGCTCTTCTTCGATTGCTACATTACCGATGACCATGCGCTGCGTGGACTCGACCCGTGAGGTTTCGTACGCCTTGTCTCGGTTCCTGTTGCCTCTAGGTGCTACGAGTAACCTGAATGGAAGCGCTTGCTACATGACCCTGGCCTGTGTCTTCATGGCCAAGGTTGGCGGCTACGGAGATCTGCTGACGCCTTTGCGCTACGCTTTGCTGGTGCTCGTGGGTGCAATCGCATCGTTCGGTGTAGCCCCCGTGCCTCACTCCGGCCTGGTCATGGCCATCACGGTCTGGCACACGGTCTTCAACATGGATGTCCCGCCCGTGTTTTCGCTGCTTGTGGGCGCTGACTGGCTGCTGAACCGCATGCGAGCCATCGTGAACATCACGAATGACACGATTTTGGTGAGGATTATTGCCGACCAGTGCGATGAGACCACGATCACGGAGCTTGAGCTCGAAGCGCAGCCAACTCACCTTTCCTAATCTAATCAACGTATTTTATTTGCCAAATTCCCGCTCGACAATATCTTCTCAGCTCGAACGTACTTCGAAGTGTTTTGTAAGCTGGACGACACACTGCCAACATGATGTTTGGTCGGTCCCAAGAAAAGCACAATGAGGGCTCACTGCTTAAAGTCCGTGAACTTCCACGCATCAATATGCTATGGCGAGGTCCGCACGCTTTCCTACATTGGATCAGAGGCCACGAAACTGCGTATTGTACTTCCGCAGAGGAAACTCTGCTGCAGCGCGGCTACTTGGCGCACCGAAGGAAGGCTCAAACGATAGTGCTGGCATCGAAAACCGAGCAACTTGCCGGTGTTCGTATCTTGCGCAATTGAATTTTTCACATCGCAACTAGAATTCGATCATCTGTACGGTAAACAAACGAACAGCTTCGTAATTGCAGCTCGATCGCGCCCTCGCCCAACATTCCCGGTGGTGCGGCCACTGATGAATCCCAACGCTCCAGAAGGACGCTGGTCCCAAACTCAAATATCGCCCATCAAATTGGAAAAAAAAAAAAGCCTCGTGTGATGCACACTGTTGCAAGAAAAACTGATTCGAAAGGGGCAGTACCGGTATCTATTCTTTCAGACAGGCAAAACGGCAGAGAAAATCTTCGGCGGAGAAGCAACAGGTGCCAACCGAAAAGCCAACGGCGAAACCCAAGTGCCGAAGTGGCCGAGACGTCCAAAGCCATCGCGCCGTCTAGGCTGAGTGTGTTAAAGCGACAGGATCGAGACAATTCCTCATGGTGAGCTTCGCGCCTTCAAGCGCAGACCGTCCACATTCTCCCATGGTGTTAACGAAGGCCGAGCGCCGCGAGCGCTACATGCAGAAGACCCGCGCCGAGGCTGGTTATCTCTTCAAGTACCTCATCTTGACGCAAGTCATCGTGTATCTCGAGGCTGGCTCCATCCCGTGTCTTCTGGACCAACTCAGTGTGTCACTCAGTCTGGACGCGACTCAACAAGGAGCTCTGGGAGGAGTCGTGTACCTGGCATTAAGCGCCGCCTCGCCACTCTGTGCCTTCTTCCTGCATCGCTTCAACCCTCGCATGGTACTGGGACTCAGTCTGCTGTGTAACAATGTGGCTGTGCTCATGCTGGCACTCACACCCACGGGGTTCGCCCTCAGTGCCAACATGTTGATCCTGGCTCGAGCTGCTGTGGGTTTCACACAGGCCTTCCCCTGTATTTACACGCCATTGTGGGTGGACGAATACGCGCCCCGAGAGAAAGTGGCAGGCTGGATGAGCTACCTCCAGGGAAGTGTCCCAATGGGCGTCATGCTCGGCTACTTCGCTGGAACTGTGAGCAACTGGCTCGTGCCCGAGAGTTTTTCTCTCATTCAGACGTGGCGCTGGCCATTTCTGCTCCAGTTTTTGGCCTTGTTGCCAATTAATGTAGCCATCTTCTTTGTGCCAAAGAAACATTTGACGATTCGCAGTGACAACGACAAAGACGCTGTTGGAAGTGGAGGCACAGAGAGTGCGAGTGCCAGTTCATCCGATGGCTGCATGGACGAAACGCAGTCTATCGACGTGGCGGACGAGACGGCGTCAAGGGTCAGTAACCAGGAGGAACGCAATGAGGACGAAGAAGAGCAGGAAGGAGACGACAAAGAACCGAAACACAATGAGTTGGAGCCACTGCACAGCAGTCGGGGAGGATTCTTGAGCGCTCGAGGGAGAGCCGGCTTCGGTCTGCACAGCTTCCTGGACGACACAGTAGCTGGGACGCCCCTGAGCACAAGATCCACCACGTATCACGACGAAGAAGACGCGTTGCTTGCCAGTGCCAGTATGTACGGGGTCAGCAGTCAACGCAGTTTTCGTCAGCTGCATCAGAACCAGCAGCAATATCATTTGGGCCATTGTGAAGACGACAATGGAGGGGCTTCACTTCGTCGTAGTATGATTCGACCTCCGAGTATGCGTGGAGCTCCACTATTGGATGCAGTAGCGAATGAACTGGAGAAAGGTGACAGTGCTGTCACTGCGCCTGGACCGATTAAGACGTCACCAATTAATTCCAAGGCAGGGAACGAGCGGGTATCGCCAGTGGCCAAGAGCTTATCCTCAACGTACGGAGCGCTAGACACGGCGATTACCCCCTTGAGATCTCCGCGAATGTCTCCACGGATGAGTATGCTGGAAGCCTCGATACTCGAAGAAGAGTTCATGGAGGTGTACGAACAAGGCGCATTCTCCGAGGGCGTCTACAAACTGCTGCATATCCCAGTCTTTTGTTTGATCGTGTTTGGCCTCACGACTGTCTATTTCGTCGTCACTGGCGTGCAGTATTGGAGCACCATCTTCATGATCAAGTCGCTGCATGCCTCCAAGTACCTGGTCAACGCGCTCTTCGTTGTTGTCTCCGGTACTGGCCCCATCCTGGGCGTGTTCTTTGGTGGCTGGCTCATCGATCGGTATGGAGGATACATCGGCGTGGAACAGCGTGCAAAAGCGTTAGGCATCTGCATGATCCTGGGACTTACAGCGTTCGCTATCTCGGCAGTGACGACGTTCTTCAACGACATTTACATCACTGCTGGTTTCCTGTGGCTCTTGCTCTTCTTCGGTGGCGCTATCCTGCCAGCTTGCACCGGCATCTTCATCTCGGTCGTGCCTGCTGAGCATCGGGCGCTCGCCTCGTCGTTCTCTGTGATGGTCTTCAACCTGTTCGGCTACGCGCTGTCCCCCTACCTTACAGGACTCATCATGGAGTGGGTCATCTCGCAGCAAGGACAGCCAAACACTTACTTCCAGTACTGTGACGAGGCCTGCGCCTACCGCATTGGCTTCCGCTTCTGTCTGTGCTGGTCCGTGTGGTCTGTTCTCTGTCTCGGCTCTGCGTGGCACATCGCGTCTCGCCAGGCGGGAGAAGCTCGTCAGATTCAGCAGTTTTACGCAGCGCAACGTCCGCAGGTAGCAGAATGCTGAGGGCTCCAACTCGAAGATGAAAATGGCAGGTTTTAAGATAGGAATGCACATAACAATTAATCGGCCACTTATGTAATGTTTGCAAGACGCAAGACGGAGACAACTTTTCTTACAGGCCAGTGCCGACCCGGTCCACAGTCAGCGAATGGAACTTCTCGAGGGCGTCACACCAACCTCGGATGGACGTTTGGAACTTCTCTTCGGGTTTTCTATCCAGAAGCACAAGTGTATGGCGAACCTGGTCGATGCGTGCCTCGATCTTCTTGTCCAGCACTAGAGCCGAGAGTAACGACTCCACTTCAGACAGAGGAATACCGTTCAGCTCCCGAGCGATGTACTGGGTGTCCATCCTCCGGTAAGGCTTGATAATCTTGAGCAGAACTTTGCTGCGGATGGTCCGAAGTAGGCTGTCGATGTAATGCTTAATGAAGGGATCGTCCATGATGGCCTCCTGGTTGCGGTTCAGCACCTGCTCGAACGTCTTGATCTCGTCGTGTAGGAACGCGTCGGTCAATTTGGTCATGGCCACGATCTCTTTGTCGTTCTCGTATGGTTTGGCCTCCTGCGAGTCGAACACGTTCACCTGAGACTCGCTCAGCATGTTGGCCAGTACCAAGTATTTCAGACACTGAAGCCGTCGGGGTTCACCAGCTTCGTCGTAGCTCTTGAAGCCCGAGAAAAAGTCACTTCGAGCCTTGTCCCACTCGCGCTGCATCATGTACATTTTGCCACCGCATTCGTGGATGACGCCGATGATTTTCTGTCATATACAGTGCACAATGTTATTGAGCTGTCAAACAAGTATTCACTTGGGTTCTGTTCGTATGCGTACAGGGTGTGCAACTCCCGACTTGGTGCGTAGTGCCTTATCGTAGATCGACACCAGCTTCTTGTTGTCTTTCTGCGCCGTGTACATCTGGATCTGTAGCGCATACACTTCCAGCAACTGCAGAATCAGCATTCAAAATCAGCACAGCACCACCCAAGTAATAGCCCCCTCCTTAAGAAAAAAACAACACTTCTCTAACCTGAGAGTTTTTCCTAACACCGTCATCTGCATCTTCATCGCTACACGACGCCAGCAGCTCCTTAATAATCTACGCAAAGGAAATAGGTCACCGCATGAGAAAAAAGGAGCATCTACTTGCGCATCATTTCCCTGTTCATCTCACCTTGCTCAGCCGAGAAAAATCCTTAATCTCGTACAGCAGGTTGCCCAGCTTTACGCTCGTCTTAAACCACAGTCTCTGCAGTATTTAAAACCAGATAGCAAGGACAACAAGGCCTTGTAATGAGTTGCCATCCACCGTCAGCGCCTCCATCTCTCTCAACAGCAGCTCCAAACCTCGTTCCTCGCCTCCTTGAGCGTCTCCAGCGTCGTCTCGTAGAATCTCTGCAGGATTTCCCAGTTCTGCGCATTGACAGTACCATCCCAGAATGTCAGCTTCTTCAGTAAACCTGAAGTACAAACCCTACAATCACAGCACCTTGCTGGTCGACACAAAGTCCAAAATGCTGTTGATGCCCTTCTCCCCAACATTACGCGTCACCGCCGTCTTCGTGTAGCCCAGCAGCTCCTCGTACCTCCGCATGGCTTCATCGTGACGCTGCAGCTCGAACAGCAGCTTGACGATCCTCTTGAGCGCCTTGAACCCCCAGTCAGTCTGCTCGTTCTGCAGTGTCAGCACCTGTGCCAACGCCCCCAACGCCTCTTCTCGTCGAGGTGGCTCTCCCTCCAGGAGCTGCTTGGCTGAGTAGTAGGCGTTCTCTATCTGCACTGCAGCCTCGGCGTCCTCCATGTCCTCGTCCTCATCGCTGTAGTCAAAATCATACTCTTCCTCGGCCGACATGGTGATCAGTACTTAAAATACTTGATACCGGTACTGTACTCTCAGGCTGATACACCTCCGACAGTGAATAGGATTGGTATTAAAGTGATGCAGGTTTCGAATATGGCTACATTAATGTTGAAGTGAGGCCCTGCCTGCGCAATGAACTCGGGGTGAAGACTGTGCCATCCTTGTGCCAGCACAGCGTAAAGCTCAGGGTGCGAGCGCTGAAACGGAGCAGGGTCCTGCAACGAGAAAATTGAATTTGTTAAATAGCACGTCTTCATGTTGCAGTGCGTTGTTTTGCACACCTCGGCAAAGCAGACGAAGATTGTGGCGACCGAGCTACTAACAGCTGCGAGAGGCGTGAACGCGACACTGAATCCGATCACGAAGCCTAGAATCGTCAGTAATGCTGGAGTCAAAATAGCAAATAACACCATCAGCATTTAGTGTAAATGAAAAGAAGCGTATGTCCGTCGCTCGTACTCGTGCTGGACTCGAACGCGAATGCATCGCTCAGCTCTGCGATTAGCGCCCCAAAGCCAGCGCAGACAAGCCCTGCTCAAAACGCACAACAGTTAACGAGAATAGCCCTGCGTAAATCGTAGAAAAACGCTTAGACCCCACCAACTCCAATCGCTGTGAGCCTGATCACGATGCGGACAAGGTCGTCGTTGATGAGACCTGTGAAGCCTCGCTGGTGAAAAAGCTGGGATACAGCACTACCTGCCTTCATGAAACTGTAGCCGTAGATCCCGACATAGACGTAAGCCCAACGATTGAAATATTTCATGATCGACCCAAGCCAAGCCAACAAGCACTCGGCAATGCAAGCAGCGGCGCCTCGTGACTTGCGACTGGTTTTTGCCAGCTACAAAACACGGTGCCAGTCAGCAACAATTGCGTTACAAAATCAGAATCCTTGTACTTCGTACCTCATGAAGTGTTTGCAGGATTGCAACGATGAGAGATCCGAAACATATTGATCCGAATGATGTTGTCATGGCTCGCTTCAGCGAGGAAGTCGTAGTATTTACCGACTCCGATTGGTACCAGAAAGCTGCAATGGTCCCAGCGATGGTAGTATGTACGACGTTCTTGAGCACATGAACACCCCAGTAGAACGACAGCAGCAAAAGTGCGAACGCCCAGCTATGATTCCCTCCATACCGTGTTTGCGTATTGCTTAATGTTTGTGAGGAGTGGCTGATTACTCCTAGCACTGCGAGACTCCACATCACAACCCAGAGAATCTGCAGCACGGCGAACACCAGAGCCACAACATACGTCGCCCTGTTGTTTGAGATGGCAGCCTCTGCTATTCGCAACTGGGCTACTGCTAGCGGAATACGGTGCTTCACTCTGCGTACATAACACCAATTCAGTATCGCGATGATCACTCCAACAGCTGCGAAAACAAAGGCACCAAGAGCAATGGCAATGCCGGCGAAAGCTATAGCGACTCCGAAGTTTAGCCAGAGCACAAAAATGATCATGCAGCGGGCGTATGACGGGATTATTTTCGTCATCATTACTGCTAGGACCATCGCCAGTGTTGTCATTCCCGATGATACACCCGCCAGAGCTTTCATGTCGTTGTGCGAGAGCGAATCGCGCAAACTGTTGTTTGTCCTTACTGCACTGACTCCCAACGAGGCCATGAGGACGAAGATGACGCCAATGTTCATTATGAAGAGTATGGCGAATGGCCAGTCCCGGTACTTCTTCTCCACTGCCTCTCTGCAGCGCGCACGGCTCAGTAATTCCAAAGAAATACCTTGCGATTGCTTCACGTACGGTTTCATGGGGTTCACAGCAACGATAACTTGGTCATTGAATTCCGTGTGCCTGGTAATGAATGGGATATTGTTAATAGTGAAAGAACAGTCACCTAAGCAAAAAACGGAGTCGGTAAGTACGGCTTGATCATCCTGTATCGAAAGCACTGCGAGGTATTAATCCTGTGCACCAGACACTAGTGCAATGGATGCTTGGATGCTTAAAAATGGTGCCAAATACAGGCTGGGGGGCTACCGGTATTGAAAAAAAGAAAAATCTTAATATAGGCTCAAGATTTCCCTATCCGACATTTGATACATCAAATTGGTCATACTTGAGCTGCCATCTTGCTCGATACTGCACAAATTAAGAACATGTATGAATGAATCTGGACGAAATGGTAGTCACGCTTACGGAGTCCATAATACTGCACGGACAGCTTCGTGGTAAGTTGGCCGACATACACTTGTGGATCCACCGACTTGGTGAGATCATCTCACTGAGATGCACGCCAAGAAATCATCGGCCGGTCACACTCAGCAGCTGACTGCAACTGTACTGGTACTGTATCGCAAATTAAACTGTACACCTCGAGCTTTCAGTGGCCCCGGATTCCGCCTAAGGACTGAACAAGACCTCTACGAACTTCAACGGCTCGCTGACCACCGCGGCAATTGGAAGGAACTCTCGACTACAATATGTGACTTTCTACCTATGACTGAAGACTCGACGTATGCAGACACCACTCTATGCCGCCGACGAGGTGTAATTTGGCTACGCGAACACGTAATACCTTACCGGTACCTTGAGCTGTGAACTTCGAACTTCGAAGTATTAATACCTACCTAGTGGTGCTGTATGTACTGTGTACATTGTACACATATCCTACAGTTTGGATAATAAGAATGACCTGCTTTGGTCAAACTGCAATGACCGCTGATCTCGTTGAAGCTGGCATCCATCACAACAGTTGACCGTGGATTAATATGTTCCGGCAAGATTTAAATACATGTACCTCAGAAGTAAGTCTTGAAGGCAGCGCCAATGATTGACGTCATTTTGCTTGACGTTGACCGTCACTGTGTCTGCTATTTTATGTTTCTGTGCAGACAGCAACGCGACTGGTGCAGCAGGAGAACCAGTCGATGCCAGCATTGCATGCGCCGTCGGTAATGCAATGCCCGTACAGTCCGGCTCATAAATATTACTACTCTGTTCCATCTCAAATCTAACGCAACGAGCGACCGCACAAAAAAAAATGATATCATTGGCTATTATTAGGCTAAGAATAGAGATTTGCTATTTTTTAATTTGTGATAAACTAGACTGGGGGTTCTGTGATTATGTCTACCGACAACAAGGGATTTGCTGAATGCCAAGTTGCGACAGTAAGTGAGTCGGTACGAAAGCTGTGTTCACCATCCTTGTCTGTGATCATTTTACACTTTCTGTCACAACTTTCATGTATCCACTCACGTGGTGTCATTTTCCCAAAAAATACAACTGTATTGTATTCTACTCCAGTCGGCTGATGCCTGCTCTCCCCCATCTGCGTGATGGCAGCTTGAAGAAGGTGCCTTTTCACCGTTAGTGCCATCCGAGTCTCGCGTTTCATTGGAGACTCAGCAGACATCCAGCCCGATCACTCCAAGAGCCGATCCCAAAGTTTTCTTGCCCCGCTTTCGTCAACAAGGCTGCAGCAACCGGACCAGTTCACAGCTTACATTCTTGATTTTGCCGTCTCTACCCGACTTCATCGGCTTGATTCACGGACCATGACCATGGCCGAATCCCCGCAGACGAGTACTGGAGAAGGACAACCAACGCACCCAGCGTCGCTGCCTATGCTGTTCGCTCGGATTAGGTCTAATGATCACCGGAGCCTTCATTGCAATTATCGCTCTGCTGTACGGCACGGTGCTGCCGGCGGTGATTGACAATGCGGTTAAGGACGGCGTCGCGACCTGTAGCACCTCGGACATCGAGGAGGACAGCTACCTCGACCCATACGCCGACTGCGACGACTGCACGCCGTACTACTACAGCCTGCACATGATGAACGCGACCAACGCCGAGGCCTACCTCGCCGGAGACGCCGACACGCTTGAGGTGCAGGAAATGGGCCCGTACACATACCGTCGTCGTGAGGTCAAGTTGGATGTTGAGCTTCTGGACGATGGAAATCGCGTGAGCTACAAGCAGTACACGTACCACACGTTTGAGCCGGATATGAGCTGCGACGGATGCTCTGATACCGACGAGGTCACCGCTTTGGACGCGGGGTACATGAGTGTTATCGCGGGTGCCGGCGGTGAAATGGCCTTCCTTGTGCGCTTGGCACTCGGTTCGTTCGCCAAGGGCAGCAACACCAGCGCAGCCCTCAGCATCGTGGCCGAGAACGGCCCGCAGATGATGCGCTGGGTCAACGGTCTCAACTCAATGGACCCGGAGGCCATGCGTACAGTAACCAACAACAGTGCCGTACTGACCTTCCTAGCCACAGGACCCGACGCCATCGCCGACATGGACCTAACCGGTTTTGCGTACAATGGTC